TTGGCATGAGTACTGCCAAAACTCCTAGATACTTGCTTACTTGAAACCTAGGATACTTGAGGGAGTGCCTCCCAGCTCAACCTAGCTTGTAACTCAATACAACTTTCTATAGCTTAAGATAGCATAGTTGTTCCATGTACCTTTATTGCATAGGCCCTGCTGTCATGGCCACCAGGGGCTAAGGGAGTATTGTTGCCATGTAAGGTTTTCCTTTGTCAGATGGGTCGGGTGTCTAGTAATATCAGGTGGTTGGTTTATGTAATAGAAACTCATGGAAGAAAAAGGAACATATCACAGATCACGGCTGTGCATGACTAGCAGAGGATTACAGATTATTGGGTTTCCTTTGTCTATACAATAAAGTGTGCCCCTTATAAGTTTGCTTTCTTTACACAATCTGGTAATCTCCTTTAGACACCCTTTCATCTACAAACAACTGCAGAGCTTCACAGTCCTCCCTCGCTTTATCTCACGATACGTTCAGGTTTTTGTTTAGGAAAGATTCTTTACCTTCGCTTACAATCTTTCTACTTTGAAAGGCTTTGTTCTTTCGTTCTAACCTTTAGGTTCTTCATCTCTATCATTTGTCATCTTCAGTCAGTTACTTCGATGTCTAAGTAAGGTTCTTCCTTTTTGGCAGGTAAGGTCACTGTGGCCTTGTCTTTCTTGTCAGTGTCAGTGGATGAGGCTTCTCTTCTTTGAAAGGTGGTCTCCCACCTTCACCACCATTTCTCAGTCCTCTCCCACCATCTCCATTAGTCGAAGCTGGAGCATCTGGCCCTGTCAGTGGCCAGGTGTTCCCCTTCCTCTTTGTTTAGTGGGATTGATGAGAAGTTGCCACCTCCCTGTAGGATTGTTGTAACATATTCACGCTGGGGTACTAGTCATGCTGTCAGATACAATAGCAGTAGAGTGCTTATCTATCAGAGAAAAATGACTGTAGGCTTGCTAAGGGAGACTTCAGTGGTGTAATAGGAAACTAAAGATAAATGTTCAACTGAGTATATTAGAATCCTGTCTGTTGAAGTCTGCCTTTTTTATCGTGGAAATCAGCGGTCTTTTAAATACATGTTCTTGAGTCTGATTATGAATTCTCACTCATGTTCTTACTCAATCAAAATGTAAAAATAACCAAGTATCAATTGATACTTAAAACAAAACATAAAACAAACTAAGTATCAATCAATACTTACAACAAAACATAAAACACAAAACTTAACTGAGCACCAGCTCTGGTTACAGTTGTGGCTAATAAAGAGGAGGTGGCTGTGGTATAGTTACCTATAGTGGCATCCTTCCCTTCTTGGATGCAGGTGCCTGAGCCATTCGTAGCTGAGCCCAGGATGGTGGCTGACCCTGTTAATGTGGCATCCGAGGTGCCTCACGTGCCTTGGTTTGTGGATTTGTTTATTGGTTCTTCCCCTCCCATAGCTGCACTGGGCTGTGATGCCTTTGGACCCAGGTGCCCTGAGGGATCTGTTACATTGGCCGACTTGGTTGTTACTAGTACAGCATTAATGGAGGTTGCTTTGGGTCTGGAACTCCCTTCCAGTGTTGTGTCGAAGGGGCATCAGGCCTTATTGGTACCGCCTGTAGTGCAATGAGCTGTGAGCTCGTCTCCAGAGTGTTGGGGTAATACTGTGGAGGTTGCGGGCTCTATAGCTGATTCCTTGACATTAAGGGTACTGGGGTAGCAGGTTAGGAAGTGGGCACTGCCAGTGGTGTCACAAACAGTGACTAAGCAAGGCAGATTTTACATAGCCCGGAATTCCAAGCTGTAGGTATGTTGGGATTTCACATGACGCACACTAGTGCGCCATAGGTTATTATGTTTACCTGTTCATGACTCACAGTTGTGAGTTACACGATGTTATGATTTTTGCACATGAGTTGGTTGATGGATTTCGCGTGATTCATAGTTATCAGTTACAGGGTTCACATGACGCGAGGTATGAGTCATGCCAGGTGAAGAACTACTATATAAGAGATTGCTAGGACTCTGAGTATTAGTCCTTCACATGTTCTCTTATTCCTTTCCTACCTCTAAAGTTATTTAATAAAACCTACCTTTATGCACTTTAAGATTTATTTTAAGAAACCTAAGAATTGTCTTTCCTCCCAAGCGAGAAAACCATTTCTCCTCCCACATCGAACAATTAAGTCCTAAGGAAGGACTTAAAAAGATCAGAAGAATAGACGTGATAAGATAAGAAGTCAAAAGGACTTGATCATTCACATCGTGTAGGCCCCGGCCGGAGAACTATTACCTCAGTACGTATTAAGAATCGTTATCTGTTGCACCCCAGTGCCCATTAGGATTCTTAATAACTGGTGGAGGAGGCGGTAGTGCAGGAGGATGAGGGATGGATGCAGGCATGTCCTGGTAACAACTCTGGTAGTAAGAAGTCTTGGTATCGACAGTGGATGCAGAGGGGCTGTGGTCAGTAAGGCCTTGGTGTGGGGATTTTTTACTATAGAGGATGG